TGTTAAGGTTTTTCTTAAATGATAAAAAAAAAAAAAGTTGATATATGATTGAGCCCTATCTAAATTAAATTGAAATTGAACCGAGCTAAACTTTAATCAGATTTGGGTTGGCTTAAGATTAGATCGAGCCAAAATTTAACAATATTGGCTTAGCTCGAGATGGGATTAATGTTTCATTTGGGAAAATTTTCTTATTGATTTCTAAAGAAGTTTTTTATTACAATTTTTTTTTTTTTTTAACTTAGAAACTACTTTAAAAAGCAATAAGAAAAATATCTCAAATAAATCTAAATGAGTATGAGCTAATCTTGAAATAATATCAAATTGGCCAGCACAAGTGCACTCTCTGAATCATCTTGTGCTTGCTATTTCATTTTAGATAACTCTATTTATCTCTTCCGTATCATGTAGCATATATCATGTGAGACTGTATTGCATGAAGTTGTGTTATCATTTATCTGTATTAGGTATTGTTTCATCCTATTAATACCTCTTATATTCACATATTACAACGAAAAAAAAAAAAATTTAACTTAGCATCATATTAAAATTACTTTAAATTAACAAAAAATTAATCTTTTTATTAAAAAGCTACTTTAAGAAGCGGTAAAAAAGCCGTCTCAAACAAAGCCTTAGAGTTTGTACTTTAGGATGAAGATGATTTCATGAGTATGACATGACATGATTGTGGAATATCTTAATGACCTTAATGCTTGAAATCAAGGGGTTATTAATATTCTTGTCTCCCCAAAAGAAAATTGGGGTTTTCTATGTTATATGGGTTGAAGAAGAAAGTAGGATAATAATGTTTGATTATTTGGTCTACAAAATATCCATTATGTCAGCCATTGTTGTCTAAGGTAAAGAATTTGCTACCACAATTCTTTCCCACAAATTATAAAAATTTTATTTGAAAAGCAATATATAGTGAAATTACTACAAGAAAAAATGACATTAAAGAAAAATGTTTAAAAACTATTTGAAAACCTCCCAAACAATGGGGGAATCAAATAAGATAACCAAAGAGGCTAGCCTGTCTGATGGTTTAATCTAGAATAAATTGATAAATGTAAAAACTTTCTCAACTCTCGAAATCATTTATATCATATTCGCTAGCTTAAAATGATATGACTTCTGATTATTGTGTTTTTAGTGCCTTAAATAACCCCCCTTATATATGGATCATAGATTCAAAAGTCGCTAACCACATGACCAATTAGGGGTGTCAATTCGGGTCAACGGGTTGGGTTCGGGTTGAACCCGGAATTGACTCGGCACTGTTCGGGTCCCATTTTTAAAAAACGGGTCAGGTTTCTGGACCCGAACCCGACCCAATTCGATTCCGGGTCAACCTGACCCGACACGAATGATCCGAAGTTGACCTATAATTGCTAGTTTTCGGGTCAAAAATTGGGTAAAAAATGGGTCAATATCGGGTTTCTGTGTCAAATAGGAGTTTTCGTGTCAATTTTGGATCATTTTTGGGTTGTTGGGTCAACCCGAGCCTGACCCAATTTTTAAAACTGGTTGATTTGTTGAACCTGAACCCGACCCATTTCGGGTCCGGGTTTACCCTAACCCAGATTTTTCTGGGTCGGGTTGGAGTCGTGTTTCGGGTCGTGTCAAAAACTGACACCGCTATGACCAACATTGCCAATTTTTTCAAACCTATATATGAATCCTACCCTAGCATTAGAAAAATAAAAGTGGCTAACTAACGGTTCACTAACAATTATAGTAGGTCAAGAAAATATTTTAAATCTATCCATATTTTACTCTCAGTACAATATTCATGTTCTTTATCTTGAAGTAAATCTTCTATCAATTCAAAAAAACTATTAAAGGCCACAATTGTAAGGTAATTCTTTTCGTTAATCATTAATATTTCAAGACTGTCTCATGAGAAACAAAACCTAGTAAATTTCAGAAAATCATGGATTATATCTTCATAAAGACAAATCATTTATTATTATTTTTTAGTTTCACTCTAAAAAAAAAAAATAACTCGCTCCCTAATAGTAAAAATAGTTGGTGGTGGAATCCTAATGTGCAAGAAAAGATAAAAAATAAGAAGCTTTGTTATAAAAATTGGTTTAATTTTAAAAATTCTGATAATTGGGAAATATATAAAGTTGCTCGTAAGGATGCTAATTCACATAATACAACGAAAAAAAAAAAAAATTTAAACTAAGCATCATATTAAAATTACTTTAAATTAACAAAAAAATAATTTTTTTATTAAAAAGCTACTTTAAGAAGTGGTTAAAAAGCCGTCTCGAACAAAGCCTTAGAGTTTGTACTTTAGGATGAAGATGATTTCATGATTATGACATGACATGATTGTGGAATATCTTAATGACCTTAATGCTTGAAATCAAGGGGTTATTAATATTCTTGTCTCCCCAAAAGAAAATTGGGGTTTTCTATGTTATATGGGTTGAAGAAGAAAGTAGGATAATAATGTTTGATTATTTGGTCTACAAAATATCCATTATGTCAGCCATTGTTGTCTAAGGTAAAGAATTTGCTACCACAATTCTTTCCCACAAATTATAAAAATTTTATTTGAAAAGCAATATATAGTGAAATTACTACAAGAAAAAATGACATTAAAGAAAAATGTTTAAAAACTATTTGAAAACCTCCTAAACAATGGGGAAATCAAAGAAGATACCCAAAGAGGCTAGCCTGCATGATGCTTTAATCTAGAATAAATTGATAAATGTAAAAACTTTCTCAACTCTCGAAATCATTTATATCATATTCGCTAGCTTAAAATGATATGACTTCTAAATATTGTGCTTTTAGTGCCTTAAATAACCCCACTTATATATGGATCATAGATTCAAAAGTCGCTAACCACATGACCAATTGGGGGTGTCAATTCGGGTAAACGGGTCGGGTTCGGGTTGAAACCGGAATTGACCAGGCACTGTTCGGGTCCCATTTTTAAAAACGGGTCAGGTTTTTGGACCCGAACCCGACCCAATTCGAGTTCTGGTCAACCTGACTCGACATGAATGACCCGAAGTTGACCGAAAATTGCTAGTTTTCGTGGTAAAAAATCGTGTAAACAACAGGTCAATATCGAGTTTATTTGTCAAATAGGAGTTTTCATGTCAATTTTGGGTCATTTTTGGGTTGTTGGGTCAACCCGAACCAAACCCAATTTTTAAAACGGGTTGATTTGTTGAACCCGAACCCGACCCATTTCGGGTCCGGGTTGACCCTAACCCAGATTTTTCTGGGTCGGGTTCGGATCGTGTTTCGGGTCGTGTCAAAAATTGACACCGCTATGACCAATATTGCCAATTTTTTCAAACCTATATATGAATCCTACCCTAGCAGTAAAAAAATAAAAGTGGCTAACTAACGGTTCACTAAAAATTATAGTAGGTAAAGAAAATATTTTAAATCTATCCATATTTTATTCTCAGTAATATATTCTTGTCCTTTATCTTGAAGTAAATCTTCTATCAATTCAAAAAACTATTAAATTCCAATATTGTAAGGTAATTCTTTTCTTTAATCATTAATATTTCAAGACATTCTCATGAGAAAGAAAACTGAGTAAATTTGATTTTAATAGAACACAATGGAGAAAAAGGATTCATGTAGCCGACCCCACGTAGTGGGATAAAGGCTTGATGTTGTTGTTGTGTTGTTGTTGTTGTACTCTAAAAAAAAAAAAATGAGAACTTCATTATAGGCTTGAACATTCTTTCTTCAAGATCCTATAATGTATGTTTCCTTCTCTTTTTATGAATGTAAATATGAAAATTTTTATTATGATGCTTGCGAAATTGCTAAATAATATTCTTTTTTTTTTCCCGCTATTTGTAATTAGCTTTGATTCATTTTCAATTAATTGTATAGTTCTTAGTGCTATTTAATCATCTATACTTCATATGTAAAAAATAATAAAAATTTAAAATAATTTATATATATATACTCTACTTTTCTACTAGTAAAAATAGATAACCTAAATAGAGAGCTTTGTGACTATTGCAAAACAAAGAAAATTAGTTTGTAACTTGTATGAATTTTTTCTTGCAATTTTTCTCTTTTGGAATGATAGTTGAAGAATATTAATCTAATTTATCTCTTTTTTCTTCAACAACTACGCTCGTCATTTGTGACAAATTTAATGGTTGAAAGCCGGGTGCTAAAGAGATTATCGCAAAAATATGACAATCGATACTTGTAGGCATATATATGAATTGCAATAAAATTTTGTCAAACGGCTCAATCGAAACACTGAATGGATGGTAAAATAAATAAATTGTTTGAAATAAAGATTACATACTATTTATCAAATTTAATTTTAGTCTTATTTTAGAGCAATAGAAATTCACTTATTTATAAAATAATAGTTCATTAAAGCATATATAGGTAAGAGATTAATTTAATCTTACTACCATAAATTATGATTAGGAAGAGATTATAAATATTTCAAATAATTTTATATCATTCCATATATTCTAAACTTTAATTTAAATGTGCATAAAAATCATTACTTTTGGCTCTAAGATTAGCATTACTACTTACATATGTGAAAATGGTTTGCTAGCAAAATTAAATAATGTAGGTTTATATAGTTTGATATATATATACACACACACTCAACTGTTTCTAGATCAATCAGAATGCATCACATCAGCGGTATCGAGCTGTGGTACCGCGAACAATATTCGGAGACCATCAGAATGCATCACGTCACCCTTATGCTCGGTACTGCTCAGTACCGCAGCTCGGTACTACTCTTTACAGCGGCTCGGTACAGTTAATGTGATGCATTTTAGTTGATCTTCAAATGACATTCAACATTCGTCATCTACACAGAATAATTTCTCTCTATAATAAGCACTTAATCATCGGATTTATTGTTAATTATAATGAATATAAATGGTAACCTTCGCCTTTAATTTCTTAATTCTTTTTGGGACATTTAAATTTTGTTTTGGGACATTAATTTCCTAAATGAAAATTGCTTTCTGGCCTCCTAACTATGCCTTGATTTCAAGAGTCCGCCTTGAAATGGACTCACGAAATCCGTACGAAGGAACTCGACGCGGCTGTCATAGGGTTTTCTTCTTCTGGAAGCAAAATTCGCATTTTCTCTCTTAATTCTTATCCTCTCATCTGTCAATCAATCGATTAGTCTCCTTTCGTCCTAATTCGATTCGTTTCTGGGTAGAAAAGATCCGACCTTTCGATTCCAAGGCTTCAGGTTTTGAAGGGTCGATGGGGGTGAATCAGTCCAAGGAAGAGCTGCTCTATCAGCAGGTTAATTATGGGAACATCGAAGGAATCAAGGCTCTTAACCGCGAAGGAGCAAAACTGGAGGTTAGTGTTCTAGTGGGAAAGATTTATGCTTTTTGAGTTGCTTGAGTTAAAGAAGTTTCATTTCGTTCATCTGAACATGGTTGTGGTTTTTTCAGTGGATTGATAAGGAAGGGAAAACTCCATTGATTCTTGCTTGTATGCGACCTGATCTTCTGCATGTTGCGAAAGCTCTAATCGAATTGGGTGCCAATGTGAATGCTTATCGCCCTGGTAGGAGGCTTGAATTCCTTCTAGCGTTTCATGATTCATTCGGAATGTTAATTTGAGAAATCGACGCTTGATTCTTTTGATGAATAAATCATAAATTTTTTTTTGCTCCTTAATTTTGGATTGAGAGACTGCTCCATCATGTTCCCTTAAATTATGTACGTTTAGAATTCGTGGAGAATCGCTTTAAAAGTTATACGCATGAAAGCTAAGTGCCATAGAAGTAAAGCTGTAGCTAATATGAAGGTCTTGTACTTCTTTATGTTACTGTAGGAAGCCATGCAGGAACTCCTTTGCATCATGCTGCAAAAAGAGGCCTTGATAGTACTGTTATGCTACTTCTTTCTCATGGAGGTATATCTTTTTAAGTGATTTTTATGAAAAACCTTTATAATTCATTGTTTTATTGTTCAGTTATTTTTATGCTAGATTCATCTTTACTGAAGGCTAGTATAATGAGATGCATAGTTTCTTTGATGTTTCAGCAAATCCTTTAGTGATGAATGATGATTGCCAAACTCCTCTTGAATTAGCCAGAGCCAAAGGGCATTCCAATGTTGTGCGTGCTATTGAGGTATTGTTGAAAGTTAATTCGAAATGGCTTAAGTTTTGTTCCTCTTTTATCCCTCCGTTTATCTTAATTTGAGATGTTGCCTTATCAAGTTCTTTTCATTGTAGAATCGTATCTGCTTATTTGTTGGTTGGCTGAGGGAGATTCATGGGCCAAGCATTTTGGAAGCATTTGCTCCTCAATGGGTGTCAAAGAAAATGTTTGTATTGTGTTTTCTCTTTATATGTTCTATTTTGCTAATAGTTTTTAGAAATTCAACAGTCGTGTATTAATATACATGGTTTCTTGCTAAATCGTTCTATTTAACAGTTGGGCTGTCGTTGTACCTTGTGATTCGCGTAATCCCACAAATCCAAGGAAGTTTGAGCTGGCTATATATCCTGATCTACAGGTATATCAAAGAATTAGATGCTTAGGGGCTGATTGGGATTACTTTTGTTTTTCATTTTCATTTTGTTCATGTTTTAACTTGAAGCAAATTATATTTGATATTCTTATGCATTTACTATTTTCAAAAGCAAAAAACAAAAAATTTTGTTTGGCTTTGTAATTTTAATGTTTCTTATATTTGGAAAACAAACTTGAAAAATTATAATATAATGACGTCATTTTAAGTAATAATTTTTCTAAAGCTGATAATAATATAATTGAATATTAAATATCAATTATTCTAGAAATTATGCATTTTATATTTAGTATTATTATTTACATAGCATTATTATAAATACATTTGGATTAAAATTAAAGGAAAATACAATATTGTGTCATAGAGATTGAAATTAACACAAAAAGTTATCTTCTATGAGTTTGAAAAATTTACACTATATAAAAGATCTAAAGCACCATTCAAAAGAAAATTTTGATTAAAAGCTTTTCCATCAAATCGATATAAAAGGAGTCCAAAGCTACATGATCACAATACTTACAAAATCCCAACCTCCAGACGCATAAGAGAAATACTTGATACCCAAAATAATGGTTACACAAGACAAGCTTTAAAATTATGCTATTGGGTATTCAGGTGCAAGCCTCAAGGCATTTTGAGACATAAGTATCATACTTAAAAATTCTATAAATTTAAATTATTGGTAATAAGTAATATGTTAGCATCATAATATATTAATATATTAAATAAATATTAACATTGTAAAATAGTAAGAAGCAACAAATTGTGCATATATCAAGTAACAAATTGCAAAAAGTAGAAGTGTAATGTAAAACATCAAAGTAAGAAGTAAGTGCTATAATGCAACGACTAAAAATGATAATTAAAAAAAAAAATCTCTCCCACTCCTAAATACAACTAACAAAAATTTTTAGGTTTAGCAAAGAGAAAATAAATTTCTCTAACGTTTGCGAGAAGTGATGTTGGGGAGAAGACATGAGATCTTTTAACCCTTGTTGAAGAAGAAGCTTTTGCAATGTGGATGAAGTCAAGGTCGGCTGGCTGGAATGCATAAGTCAAGAGGGTTGAGCCCTAGGAGGTTGGGGACATGTGGCTACTTTGCATGAATCAGCGAGATCAAGAGATAGAGAGGACATGGTGAGATAATAAGAAAATAGTTTCTTTTAATACCTGAACCTTTCAAATTTTGAGGCTTGTCTCATAAGATTGGGTGAGGTGTGCCTTACATTATTTGATGCATATGCCTCATATAAAAACTTTAAGGCACATGCCTCAAGGTGAAAAATATCAAATTTTGCTGAGGTGCACCTCAAATTAGATAAATTTAATCCTTGACACCAAATATGAATTATGAAAGCTGATGAATAGACTTCATTGTGTGCATGAATCCAAAGATTTCTTGTTAGTTGTTAAATGATCACTAAAGATGTATATCTTCTTAATGTTTCAGTTATAAGATTCTCATTTTCATACATCTCAAATAGCATATCTCCTTCAAATTGTGATTTTTTAAAATTATATAGTTTACAATAAGCAGTTATAATATATTATTGTGCACGCAAATCATAAGGATGCATTTTTTTAATAATTGAAAATCTTGCTTTCAAAACTCCAAAGCTATATATTTTTTGTTTTTGCTTTAAAATGGCCTTGAATGATGGATGACTATGTTGCTGAACTAGAAGTAGTTTGCTCATTTCCATAAGTTTTATGAAAGTTTGCTCATTTGTTTTTTAACCATATTGCCTCTTCACTAATTTCAGTTATATCATTATTGTTTATAATCCTTCAATAGATAAATGAATTTAGAAAGTATGAACAAATGTATTTTTTCAATTAGTAATTATCTAGAGAATCGTTAGAAAGCAACTTGTATACAAAATATTTATTGACAATAAATGAAGGATTAGGATTTAAAATGTAATGCTTATCCAAGAAATATATATTGAGAGATAAGAACTTTTAGATGAATGAACATTTACTTGATACAGTTCTAGATTGCAAAAGGCCAAGAAAAAGATTAAAATGCCCTATCGTATATTTTCCATTTGGATTTAACTCAAAACAGTTTACAAATTTGAATTAAGCCACATGCTTCCCCTCCTCTCCACCCATTGTAAACAGTTTACAAATTTTAATATCCTCTATGTCAAAAATAGTCACATGCTTCCCCTCCTCGATCTTTGCTACCTCCTCTCCACCCATCGGAAGCTGACCATCACCATCATCATCATTCTCACTCCTAGCAATCTTCCAACCCTCTCCCCACTTCTTTTATCCTTTCCCCCTCCCATTCCCTTCTCCTCTTACTTTTCCCATGAACGATGTGAACTACTAGTTACCCCCAAATCTCTTTTGCCTTCTACTTCTCTTATTTAATTAAAAGATATAAATATTTATGTTTCATCCCAAGCTCAATAAATCTAGCATAAGTGAAATCCAATCATCGAAAACAAAGCCATTATACCAAATTGACAATCCCTTCTATCAGAGCTTCCATGAATTAGATATTTAGAGATAGTAAGGTAGAGAGAGAGGGAGGGAGGGACTTACTGAAAAAGGGGTAGTTATTGGCAAAGAGAATGACTGCGCTTGTGAAGAGCCAAAGAGAGATAGCTCCAATCGAAGGGATGCGTCTCCATGACACCAAGTTGAATAAGAAGAGCATATGAGAAGGGTCTTTGGGCGGGCATAGAAATTGGAATCATGATTTGGGAAAAACTAAGAGTCATGAAAATGATATTTTGAAAATACAAAAAATACTTAAAATTTGATCTTTATGATTTTCAAAACAAATCAAATTTGTTTAATTATAAAATACTTTAAATGGGTAAAAAAACATTTTTATTTTTGTTTACAATTTTTTAAGAACAAAAAGGAAAAAAACATTAAACAAAAAAGTAATCCTATGCAGGCCCTTAATTTCTAGCTAATTGTCATTTTCATTACATGAGTTCATGGAATTTACAACCAGATTCTTAACCATATCTAATATGTAAATACATTGCAATAGCTTTAAATTATCCTAAGAATTCTCCTTGGGACTTTCTTTGGTTGACCATGCTTTGTTAAGTTGAGAGAATTTTGTGGATAATCAAAATTATGTCTTTTCTCTATTTATGCAACCTCTTTCTATATCTTTGTTCTTTGTTTGAGGTGGTAATGCTCATCAAATTTGGCCTTCTTGCCATAGCCGCTCTTGGCATGCCTTTGGAATGCTCTCCACCTATATTCAATGTTTCTTCATGTATTCTAGGAGTTTCCACATCTTTTGGGAGATTCTATAAGCATGGCTTCCCCATATATCTTGAATTTTTTTGAAGTTTATTTTGAATTTGGCCCTGAACTTGGTGCTTGCATCTGGGCTTAATGTGATTAACCTGAAGGCTAGACCAATATTTGTTAACCTTCTAGTTTGTTATTTGGATTTGGTAGGTTGGCTAGTTTACCAAATTCAAATTTGTTGGAAATGCATCCGTGGCAATCATTGTCATTATCATCATAATCAACTTTTTCCTGGCTATTTGTGGTCAAGTTTATGAATCGCCCTTCTCCATTTGATCTTTCGAAGGGTTGCATAAGTTGTTTAACCTATTTTTGCTAAAGATATTTTGGCATAACCTCAACCTATGTCGTCCGTCGCTCTTCATGATTTTCTTTTTAAGGGTTTAACATTAATTATATATATTTATCTTATTTATGCTCCTACTCTTTGTTATATATTTACAATTAGTTTAAGCTAATAATTTAAACCATTAATTTATATATATTGATTCTAATCATTCCGTGAAAAGATCCTAACCAATATTCCTAAGAATACCAAAATTTTGGTCCGTTTAACTTAAATTCAAAGTAATATCAATCGCAATTATAAGTTCAGCTTTGACACAAATCTTAGCTAAAATTTTCTATGGCAAACAAAAAAATTGAAGGAATGGCTTTTTTTGGGACAACCAAAGAATACTATAAAATGTTAACAGCTTTAAGTTGCATACTTAGTTTAGTTGGAATTAGGTTTTAATCAAGGTGCTTAAATAGGAAAGATCTGTTCATAACACTAAGCACTAGATTGAGTGTTATTTCCTTCTATTTTTAAAGTCGAGATCTAAGGTTTTAATCCTGGGAGAAAAAAATGGATGGCACAATTAGAAGTTATAAATATGATGCTAGTTCTATCATTTTTTTATATCAATTGGAAAGTTCAGATAGAGGAGCCAAAGTTCAACCTGTCTGATCCTGCATTGATTATCATAGACACTGCTAAAAGTAAGCCCCTTAATGAAACTATAGTAATATCATATACTTTGCACTTTTTTTTAGTTCAATTTTTGAGAATTTGTAAATCTACAAGAGCTAAGTAGTATTCTTTTCTATCTTTGAGATTTGTGGTTTCTTCCTTTGATTTATAGAAAACCATGATTTGAAAGCATAATGAAAACATATAGTCGACTTAATGGAATAAAGAATAAGTTATTTTTTCCTATATGTTTGATTTCATAATTTTGTTGAACTTCATCAGTTAAGTAGTTAGATTAAAACTTCATCTATTTCACAAGCTAAGATCGACTTATGCTTTATTTATTTTTTACACAGAATCTAGGTTCAAGTTTCTATCTGCACATGAAGGTGATAAGCAACAGATACAGTGGTTTTACAATGCTTGCAGAGGCATATATCAGGTGACAACATTAATCTCATAATTAATTTAAATAGTCTTGCATTATCCTATGCTTTAGGATGCAACTTAAAATTCATATTTGTTTTTATATAAGTTAGAATCAAATGAATTTATTGAGAGAAGCTAGCTTCATATTACATTATGACTTCATTTTTGTTAGAAGTTATCATCGCAGCTTGTTCCCATGAATGCTTCAATAAGGATATTGATTTAACTGAACAGTTATAGCAGGGGTTTCTAGAAAGGGATGCCAACTCTTTATAAAAAATAAAACATTTGAAGGGTAGCAAATTGTTTGATGGATCTTGCTTAAGAAAATATATCTGAAGAGGGGATTTGGTATGATTTCTTGTTGGTATTTTCATCCATCTTTAGCGGTCTATTCAATTTATGTCAATGCCAAGTCAAATAAATGAAGAAGAATGTGGTTCAAGGCCTAGAATTTTCAATATTGATATAACTATGAGGAGGCTAAGGTGTATCGGATGTGTAATTTGCTATAAGCCTGTAATATCACCTTATTATTTCTTTCTTCATTACTACTACTATGGTGGTACTCATTCGTTTGACGAGGTCGTTTTCCACCATATTCATGATGCGTTTGTTTTTTCATTAGAATATGTTTGTACAAGACATCTTAAACCTGGAATGTGAGGCAGGGGGGCACATTAGAAAGAATATGAATATACATTCAAGTGTTTACAAAGGGACCCAATGGGAGAGAGAAGAGAATGAAAGAAAAAATAAGAGAGAGAGGGAAAGAGGTTACTCTTGAGAGCAATCTCAAAATATTTCATTCATAACACAATCATAATGGTTAATCAATCAAAACTTTGGGCTTTCTCTATAGTAAAAAGGCTCTAAGCTTAATCACAAGAAAATAATAGAAATTCCAATCATTTCAAATAGATAAAGCTCAATTACATGTATGAAAATTTAATAATTCCTATCACTAATAAGGAAGGAAAATGACTAACCAGTCTGATATTGTCGCTTTCAGTTGTAAGTCCTCATTGAACACACGCGTCAGCTCACCCAATTTACTAATAACTATACTTCAGATAGGTTGAAAATGCCCATCCGGAATGTTAGGAGTGGTGCATTCTAACCTGTCATGATCCCCTTAAAGAATTATTTACTGGTGGATGGTTGTAGAGCTTGCACTACAACTAGTGGGAATGCATAACTTCACATGCAAAGATATCCATGGGAAACCCTGGCTTTTCAATAAACCTTATTAAGGCAACAAATCTCAATATAAACAAAAAACATAATTTGCATTCATGTTGAAAGATAAAGTATAAACTCATTAGGTGCTAGGTTTCTTGAGTTATAATAAGGTTTTGAATCTATTATATGTAATAAATTGCATGTAGAATGCAAAAGTTTATAGGATACATACCAATTAAATATAATTTCATTAATATTACCCCAAACATTAGAATAAACATATGCGGCAATTATAAAATTTTTATTATAAATGATATTTTATTTATGGGATTTTTACATACATAACACTTCAAACTATTATATTTACTTATCTAACACCCAAAGTATACTATTTACATACCTACCACCTAAATACATCCCGTTTCATCAAAAATACCACTCCGTCAGAACTCCATCCCGAGTCTACCTTTCGCTCGTGAAATTTCGCCACCTCCTCCTCCCTTGTTGGCGTCAACTATGGCCTACTCGGCGATAACCTCCTCTCCCCAGACAAGGTCGCTCCTATTCTCCGCTCCCGCATCAGGCTCTATGGCGCCAAACCCTCCATCCTCCGCGCCTTCTCAAACACCGGCATCAAGCTCATTATCGGGCTCCCCGACCTCTGCGTTCCCACAATCGGCATAAAAAAAAAAAATTCTCTGTTACCTCTTCTCAACCTCGGCAACTCAAAAAGAGCAAAAAAAATGTTAACAAAATTTGGAAAAGGAAAATGCCTAATGAGAATGATCTCCTGTGTCGCCAACCTCCCTACCTTGCCATGAAATTTATTTCAGCAATATTCATTAAACCTATTTAAAAGCCCCAAATATTCCAATCGGCGATGAAATGGACCTAAGATTTAGTTGAGATTAATCCTTATTTTTTTCATCATACAAAAAGAATGAGAATAATGAGGGTTCTTCCTCTAAAAGAAAATAAAGATTAGGAATTGCTCTGAAATCTATATTCACAGATATATAAAAATGAGAGAATTTTGAACAAGAAGACAGAAATATACTTGTTTCTTAAAATATCACGACGGAAGAGAAATGTGCCTGCGAGATGAGGGGGTTCCCTGCTTGGAGACTGTGGCCACGCTGACTGTGAGAGATAGCTCAGGAGAAACAAGGGATGGTCACAGGCGCTGTTAAAGATAGCTGCCAGAGAGGTGAGGGATGGTTGCCAGCTAGGTATGACGATGGTTAATGAAAGCAGCGGTTCCAAATGAATCTAGGTTGACAGCTTCGGGGGCTGTTTTGGATGCAGAATTTATGCCAGATTTATGTAAAATTTGTTCTAAATCTTGCCAAATGTCAAAAAAGGCAGAGTTAAATCTCACAGTAAATCTAAGCTCCACATCACGGCGTTTTTGACATTTTTCCCTAATCCCGGATTTCGTAAAGCCGAAGCAGCGCGCGAACGCGGAGAAATAGCATTACCTTCGTGGTGAGCTCCCTCGCGACTTCCGGCTTCCCGCGCACTTTCGCGGTTTGTTTTGACGGGAGTGGAAACGGAGTGGTAGTTTTGAGAAGTGTTAGGATTTTAAAGTGGTGTATAGGTAAATAGGAAATTTTGGGTGTTAGATATGTAAATAGACTTATTTTAAGTGTTAGGTATGTAAAAATCCCTTTATTTATTTTCTCAATGTTAACAAATAACTCATGCAAATGAACAATTGTTAATTCAACTAAATCAAAATAAGGTGTATCTTTAGGGATAATATAATGGATAACTTTAATAAAAACTGAGGAGTCATGATAACCATCTAAGAATGTCCAATGAACTTCCCAATAAAAATAACAAGCTTTCTTGATCAAAATGAGCATTTTAGAAAGGCAAACTATTTCTATAAAAACAACTTTTTTTTCTATAAAAACAACTTATCAATTGAGTAATTATTATATAATATGATCTATCTATCTTTATTATCAGATGTATCTTTAGGTTTGGGTTAGAAGGAAATCATTATTATAAAGTTCATAAATATGTAGTTTTAATTTAGCATTTTTATATGATGCTTTATATAATGAGGTAATAGGGAATTTAAGGTTCAATTTTGGAGTCTAGATCTGATGTGCATGAAAATTCACACGTGAATTTTGGTGCTATTATGGGTTCACATTTATTTTCATTCTTAGTTTTAAGTTAGATTCAAGTGGAGGTTCAAGCGTAAAATCATCTTGCAATGGGGGATCTTTATTTAGTTCATCATTATGAATTAAAATTATGATTTTTTTTTTTAATTTGAACAATCTTTTCAGCTAGGGGATTTAAAATATATAGTATAGGTGGCATCTTTTAGGACTCAAATATTTGAGAAAGAATTACCTTAGGAGACACTAGGGCAAGTGCTTGTTTGATTAGACTGAGACAGTTAATAATAACTTTAGCAACATTATCAAAAAGTTGTTTTAGTATGAAAACACTTCATACTTTGTTGATAATGTTGGGAGATTTATCAGAAAATGCTTCCATATATTGCCCATCTTAGAAGGAAAATAATAATTTTCTCATATAATTATGAATTAGATATGCTATAGCTGTTTTTTATTCTAGATGTTATTGTTCACCAAATTTGATATCAAACCTTATCAACTTTAGCATTAATTTTATTAAGTATTTCATGCCATTCAAGAAATATAGTTTTTGTTAACTATGACTTTTCTAATTTTTTTTTTAAAATTTAAATTTAAAATTAATTTTAAGACGATTTATCCTTTTAGGTAATCTTTGTTTTTAATTTGAATAGTGTTACATTTCATTTGATCCTATCATTTTAATCCTATTTTTATAAGTATGACCTCATATTTTGTAATAAATTAGAGTTGAAGCCGAATGAAAGAAGTTTCCTTTGGCCTCCCTAATGATTTTTCTTTCTTTGATGGTTGCTATGCTTTAGTCCTCTCTACCTCCTACGTCCATCCTTTTGAGGTGTTCATTTATCTGCAGTGCACGTCACTTGTACAACTCTCAAATTTTATTAACCTTATGACCATCGCCTCCATGTATATATCCGCCCTAATCTATTTAGATTGCATGACTCATCAAATTCAAACAAATCCAAAAATCCTAAACATACCAAAAACTCAATTGTAAAGAAAAAGAAAACTTCTATCAAATCATGTTGGTCTACCCACATGTATTGAAATTGCTTAAGCTGCCAAAGGTAGCTTTCCAAAGTGTGTCAATGCTCTTCAAGATGTGCTCCTAGTTTTCAGTATATATTGTCGTTAATGTGATGTTTTTTCCCTTTTGTCTCTTCTTTGTGATGGATTTCCCATGCGACACATCTTCTTTAGAAATAATTTCCCGTTCTCCTTTCTTCTGCATTGGTCTCTTTTTCATGGAATGAATGCTGCAAGCTCCATGATACAATTGAAGATTTCTTGGCCTTCCACCAACAACATTGCAACTCTTAGGAGTAGATTTGTTTTTGCATCTTATGGGATTAGTGCTACGCAAGCAATAAGATCTTTTATTATTTAGGATTTATTAGTTATTTTATTTTAAATTAGGATTTTAGATTTATTTTAAGATGAATTAGCCATTTGGATAATTTTAGGCTTAAATTTATTTTGTATTAGGTTTCAATTGGATAATATCTTTGTAATTCTATTTCTATAATAAATTAGAGTCAAAGATGGGATGAAAAAAGTTTCTTTTAGCCTCCTCTTTGGGAATCCTTTCTTTCTTTTTGAGTTTCATTGCTTTTATCCTCTATACCTTATGGCTCACTCATTTGAGTCGGTTATCTTTCTAAATTTCTAACCATTGCTTTCTATATCTCTCATGCTCTCCTCCTATATTGGATTGGTGCTGACTTGCTCTTTATCAATGTCACATTCATTTATTCTACTCTTGGGTTTATGCTTTCTTGCCTTTGTGAAATGGCATGATCATGATGAAATGATGAAACTATTTGTATGCTAGATATCCAAAATCAAACGGAATGGTAAGAATAAATTATTTTGCTGAAAGTTGAAATTAGACTCATATAAAAAAAAAATAATTTTTATGGGCTCAGTTCATGCAAGAGTCAATATACTTATAAATCATATTAATTTAGTTCATATCTTGTTGTTTGTAGCAAGTAGGATTTAATCTCTTGATATTTCTCTCAAGATGAACTCTATTATTCACTAAAACTCATTAAAGAAGGGTAACTTTGTAAGTGATTCATATATAGGATCAAATGTTCCTAAACATGACATGTGATTCACTAATCAAAATATTTATATTCTTGATTTTCGAAGTGAGGATTATACTACAAGCATCGATCAAATTTTCCCAAATACTTAATTGATGCAACCTTTTATCTCCAAAACAACGCAACAGTGTCGTGGGGAAGTGTTATTGAGGTTTCATTTGGGATGGGCAGATGGCCTTTTTACTATTTTTTAAAATAACTTTCTAATGCAAAAATTTTAATTTTTATACTAGAAAGTTGTTTTAAGAAATAGTAAAAAAGCCGTCCTAAACAAAGCTTGAGTTTGCTAGGAGCTTATGTTTCCGCCCAAAGAGAAGATGAAAGTTGTGAAATGGTCTGGGATAGTTTTTAGGTGATTGGAGATGGTTTGGAGTGGTCTTTAAGGGGCTTTCGCCAGAGCAGACAATAAAATATTTCAGTGCAGTTTGCTGAATTTTTGAATGTGTAGAAGGGTGCATTCTGAAACTGAAGAGGGTAGAGAGTGGCCACTAGGGCAGAGACCCAAACAAGTAGCCACTTGTAATAAGCTTTTTGGATGACAAACTTTTAGGAGAGAAGGGTCCCATATTGAAAATGGAGGAAATATTATTAAACTATTTAAGTGCTATACTCAAATATTGAAAGGTGCTTTGATTTAACCAATGTTGCACTGATACGGATACGACGACAGGGATACGACACGAAACGGGGCACGTCAATTCTTAAAAATATATGATACGGGTACGGCGCAGACACAATATTATAATTTATAAATCATATATAAAAATTAAGAAAGCAATCAAAGCATAATATTTGAAAAAAAAAAGAAAAAAAAAAGAAAGTAACATCATTTGTAGTCTTGTAGCTTATAATATCAAAATAAAAGTAAGCATTAAATGTCTAATACAACAACAAAAGCATAAACATAAATTGTCTAGCACATGAAGTTTTAACTATTCAATAGAAAGAATGATATGATTAGCTTCGTCAGTGGTTTGTCTTTTAACTTTTATTATTTTATATCATATTCAATAAATATCATAGCTTCTAATTAAGACTCATCAAGTGAAAGATTAACAATTTCTAATATTCTCATATCATCAAGAGACTAAAATCCATCTTGGAAAAGAGGGAACCTCACTCGCAGCCGCGGAAGTAAATATGATGGATCTTTTTTTCAGATTTTTTTTTTCAACGGACACACGTATCGGATACGCGTGTCCTTTTGAAATTAAATAGTATTTTAATTGGATATGGAAAAGTCGTATCCGACACGTATCGGTGCTATATCGGAGGTGTATCTGTGTATCAGATATAGCATGCCTTCATGAATAGGTGTATCGGTGCAACCTAGGATTTAACCAATGAAGTTTCATTGGGGAAATCTGAAGTTAAGTGTGTACGTGACAACGCTCATTAGATGTGATGAGCTGGGCCAATGCACATGATGCTCTGCATAGTGCGGCTTGTGTTGTTTCAAATTGCTATCAAAATTAGGCCATTCTAAATATAATTTTTTTATGCAGAATATGTTAATGATTGATCAGTTGGATCTTTTTTTTAGTCCAAGCTAACTGCCATTGATCTCGTGTTGAAAGGATTGCAAACATTTTTTTTACATTTTGAATTCAAGTGCATCTGACATACTATACATGCAACTTTTTTTTTTTTTTTGGTTTCACAATGAATGCCTAACTATTGGTTCACAGCAAGTGGTGATCCATGCCATTACATAAATATAATCCATACTGAATCGTTTATATTTTGACATCAGTTCTCTCTCACACAGCATAGCAATATTGTTCCCGTTCCACCACCAGCTGCTCCACCATTGCCCAACCATTTGCAAGCACCAAACACACCAATCCCAGAAGATGTCCAACTATCTATGGCCATCAATGCTTCTATACAAACAGCTTTAGTAGAGGGTGTCTCTCTTCCTCATGGGCAACAAGTTTCCCCAATCGATGCCACAAATGATTGGGGTAGCTCCTCTGCAAACCCAAATGCCAGTGCAGCACAGCTTCACACAGGACAAATTGAAGCCCCAGCTGTCTCTTGCTCTTCTCAGGAATCACATCCTTCTATAACAGTTCCTTCAGCTCCGCCAATTTTGGATGAGGCAGTGTACGGAGGTCCCATTCACTATCCATCTATAGATTCCAGCCCTGTTTATTTTACTGTGCCACCAATTGAAAGGAGTGCTATAAACAGTATTGAAACGAAGGAAGATGATGGAAACAATGCTTCATCTTCCACATGTGTGATCTGCTTGGATAAGCCGGTGGAAGGTGCTTGCATTCCATGCGGTCATATGGCTGGATGCATGTCATGCTTGAAAGAGATCAAAGAGAAGAAAGGGGACTGTCCAGTTTGTCGTGCCAAGATTGATCAGGTTGTGAGGCTTTATGTTGTTTGACTTATAAGTCTGTCTTTGATCAATTACTCTGTGATCTATTTGTGATTATTGATGGTTGTAGCAGATGCTGCTCTTTTTATGTACATGAATGTAAAATCTATCACAAAATTCAATAGGCTGCAGTATGAGATATGCAACAGAGGGATTAATTCCAAAGTGTATTTTGTTCCACGTTTTTTCTGCTGTATTTTATTTTTGGTACTGTATGAAATTAATGTTTATTTGGGACTTCTCATAAATGAAAATCATTTTCGTATTTTTATCAGCTACAGTTATATTTGATTGCAACCTTATTTCCATTTTTTAAATTTTGTGGTGTGAGCAATTTAGTGCTATTTGGTTTTTTTTTTTTTTTTAAGGTGTTTATATCAATATAATCATAAGAAATTAGGGAATGTATATTGGATCAAACCAAGTTGAACATGCTTGGTAATGCCAATATGTCTTCAAAATTGAACTAAACTATATTATATTATAGGCGTGCTACTAAAATCTAAAATTTGTTATCATGAAATTTATTGAATTTCTAATTTTATTCTAAATCATGATAAGAAAAAATAAAATGTTATTTGGCATGGAATATCACTACAAGAAAAAAGATTTTTTTTTTCAACAACTTTTTTCGTTACAAAATGTTCACAAACACCTATTTGTGATAAATTCGAAGGTCCAAACCTGATTGCTAAAGAGATTGTCACAAAAATTTGGCAATTGATACTTGTACGCATATATATTAATTGCGATAAAATCTTGTACGTCAAACAACTGAATTGAAACACTGAAAAGGTGGCAAAATAAAAAAATTGTGTAAAATATAGATTACATAGTACTTATCAAATTTAATTTTAGTCATAATTTAGAGCAATAGAAATTCACATATTTATAAAACATTAATTCAGTAAAGCACATACATGTAGGAGATAAAATTTCGTTTGAGATAGTTTTCTTGTTGCTACTTAAAGCAGTTTTCTAGTACAAAAAAATTAATTTTTATACGTACTAGAAATCTGCTTTAAGAAATAGTGAAAAAGCCATCCCAAATGAAGTCTAAATTAATTTAACTACCATAAATTAAGATTAGGATGATATTATAAATACTTCAAATAATTTTATATTAAATCTTATATTCTAACCTTTAATTTAAATGTGCATCAAAATCATTTTTTTTTTGTTCTAAGATTAGCATTTTTTAGTTCTATTTTAAAATATAAACTAATAGTTTACTAAGTAATGAATCATTCGTATTAAGTTTTAAGATAGGAATTTAGTGTCCTAAACATGTTATTTTGTTAATTGTATATAAATTATGAGAAAATAGGTCATTAATCCCCTTCATAATATTTTTATTTTATAATTCAAGAAATGAGAAATTAATTTTCTTTTAATTCTACCAGGTTATGCTTGAGAAATTCACTCTCTTCAAACTCCTATACTTCTTTTGATTAGAAAAATTCATGCTTATCTTTTAATTTTTGCAAAGCCAATACTAATTCATCAAAAGCACTAGAAAGTTCTTCATAAATCAAAATGGGGTTGATAGGTGGAGCAATGTGTTCTTCTTGTTTTTTTTGTCTCTTCATCTTCTATCACTAGAATAAAAAAGGATTTTGCTTGGACATTAACTTTTGGCCATAATTTTTTACTATTTTCAACAAATATTTTAACTAGAAATTTGCGCAAGAAAATTGTTCCAAATGAGGGAAATTATTACGTGCAGTCATCGGACAGTCTGGAGACGAATTAGAATGTGTCACATCACCCAGTACTCAACGGTACATAGCACCGATAAACATTAAAATGGTGATGTGACGCATCTTGATTCGCCTCCGGACGATGTCTGCTGACCGCACGTAATAATTTCTCCCCAAACGAAATCTTCATCTTTAACTTCCTCATTTTCATCTTATTGTTCTCCTTCTTATATTTCGTGTTGCATGAATATCCTTGATTCTTCAAATTATTTGTTGATATTCAACTCAAGGTATTCATTTCTTCAATAATCTCCTTATCCATCTTATTTAATAACATCTACAAATTGAATAGTAAGAGCCTCTAATAATTTTTTATTAAATTTTAAATAAGTGACAAGTACAAAATATGTTTATATAAGGCTTCATGAAAAGAATTAATAAATTTATTATTCAAATCATTTAATTCAAATTTATTAAACATAAATGTTTCTTGTTTCAGCACTTTTTAACATGCTGGTGATCAATTACATAAATAATTAAATATAAATCATTGCATGATTTGAATCTTCAATACAAACTTTATACCCATCATTGCATCAAGAAAGCTTCAACAATTAATGCATGCTACTTTTTTTATTAAATTAAAAATTCCAAATGTTGTATTTTGTTTAGCGGAAATGCTCAAATTTATTAAGAACTTATTAATTTGAATATTGAAAAGAATATTACTTGGACTAAAGCCTTAATTTAGACTTTTTCTTTGATTGCAAGTGTGATACGTTGGCCTCCAAGGAGTGTACCTGTCAAATTTAGACTGTTGCATTTTTTTTAAATATATGATAGAAAATATTACAGATATATATATATATATATATATTATCCTTTTTTTTCTCTTAAATAATAATGCATCTAATCATCTCTCCACCATGTTGATCAAATTAGTATTGTTAGAAGTTAAATAAATGTGCGCCAAAATTTTATTGGAAAAATTATCTCATTTGACCGAGCAATTTGAGGTGGCCCCAAATAGTAGGAATGAAGCTCAAGTAATGCTCCATTTGTCTTCATCACCTTGAATCAATCCGCACATATGCAGGCAAAGCCTTTTGTCTTCGGGCATTATAAAATCCCCTTGCAAATCTACTTCACATAATTCTATTCCACACAAATCCACTTCATTAGAGAGTGAGAAGATAGAGAGGGATGTAGGAGTATAGGAGTAGGGGTGTCAAAATATGACACGACTCAAAAACCCGACGCGCTCGCAGCCGCATTCTTCCCCGCACTAGCTCTCATAATCACCCACACGACCTCACCCTCGCCTGCCCACGCGACCTTTCCCTTGCTTGCCCTCAAGACCTTGCCCTCACCTTCACCCTCTCCCTCGCCCATACTTATGTCCTAGTCCTCGCCCTCGAGGCCTTTCCGTCACTCTCACCCATGAGGCCTATCCTTGCCCGCACGTGCTCGCATAATTGCCCTCGCCCTCACCCTCAATGCCTCGCCCACAAAGTTGCACTCTCCCTAGCTACCTCGCCCACTCCAGCTCTATCTCACACTCGCCCTCTCATGCTTGCACAAAAACACTTACCGCCGCCCTCTCTCGCCCTTGCCGTTTCATGCTCGCGCTCAGTCTCTCCCTCACAATCGCCCTTACCCTTGCCCTCTTAGCATGCTCACACTTGCCCATTGCACTCAACTATCTCCACCAAAAACATCTTTTGACACCCCTAAGTAGGTGTAGAGGTATGTGTTAGCGGGGTAGGGTTAGAGGTCAGTATAGGTAGTAGGGGTAGGAGTAGAGGTGTGGGTAGGTAGTATGCACTACAGGAAAAATGACAATTTCCGGCGACCATTTCCGTCGGAAAAATGGCTAAAATCCGTCGGAATTATAATTTTATAAGTAAATTTTTTTTTTAAAAAGTAATTATAATTTTAAAAGTAAAAGTATTTTTTAAAGATAAAAATAAATAATTTAATTTAATAATGTATTATTAAATTAGTTAATTTAATTTAAATTATTTAGCTTAAATTAACAAAATAAATAATTATAAAAAAATATTATAATTTAAGTTTTAATTTAAATAATATAATTTTTTGTTATTAAATAATTATTTTATTTTATTCTATTTTAATATAAGTTTAG